TAAGATACAGAAGGATCTTGACGGACTTGAACATTGGGTTCTATCTAACAAAATGAAATTCAATGGTGAAAAAGGTAAGGTTCTACATTTAGGCAAGCCCAAAACAAAATGCACAGGTACAGTATATGTGGTACCTCACTCAATAGTAGTAATTGTGAGAGGGCTCTTGGGGTCCTAGTGGACAACCATTTATATATGAGCCAGCAGTGCGCAGCAGCTGCCAAAAAAGTCAACACAGTCCTAGGCAGCATAAATAGAGGGATAAAATCAAGATCACGTAGAGTGTTAATACCACTTTATAATGCTTTGATAAGGCCACACTTGGAATACTGCATCCAGTTTTGGTTGCCATGATGTAAAAAAGATGTGGAGACTCTAGAAAGAGTGCAGAGAAGAGCAACCAAGATGATTAGGGGACTGGAGGCTAAAACATATGAAGAACGATTGCAGGAACTGGATATGTCTAGTTTAATGAAAAGAAGGACCAGGGATGATATGATAGCAGTGTTCCAATATCTCAGGGGCTGCCACAAAGAAGAGGGAGTCAAGCTATTCTCCAAAGCACCTGAGGGCAGGACAAGAAGCAATGGGTGGAAACTAATCAAGGAGAGAAGCAACCTAGAACTAAGGAGAAATTTCCTGACAGAACAATTAATCAGTGGAACAACTTGCCTCCAGAAGTTGTGAATGCTCCAAGACTGGAAGTTTTTAAGAAGATATTGCATAACCATTTGTCTGAAGTGGTGTAGGGTTTCCTGCCTAGGCAGGGGGTTGGACTAGAAGGTCTCTTCCAACTCTGTTATTCTGTTCTGTTAGCCATATACAGTAGGTGGGAGATGTTTTTGATGTTTGATAGCCATAGCCTGACTTTTTTTTTTTTAATTTGATTTATATGCCGCCCTTCTCCGGAGACTCAGGGCGGCTTACAATGCGTTAAGCAATAGCCTTCATACTTTTGTATATTTATACAAAGTCAGCTTATTGCCCCCACAAACTGGGTCCTCATTTAACCTACCTTAGAAAGGATGGAAGGCTGAGTCAACCTTGAGCCTGGTAAGATTCGAACCTGCAGAAATTGCAGGCAGCTGTGTTAATTACAGGATGCATTAAACCACTGTACTACCAAGGCTCCTTTAATAATATTGTTCAATATTATTGACAGAGGAATCAGAGCAATGACAAACAGTAGTAGTGAGACTGAGTCTCCTTGAAAGACGGATATCTTGATATTAACTTCTTCCAATCTATCGCCATTGACCAGCAACTGTGTTTTCCATTGTGCCATTGATCTTTATACAAAGCTTCTGATGCTTGTACTGACTTATTTCTAGACACTTGATTATCCAATCATGTGGGAGGGAGTCCAGTGTTTTCTTGCAATTAATCCAGACTACATTCAAGTTGGTCATTCTTCTCTTGCAGTTTTCCAAAATCTTCTTAATCAACTAGGAGCTCATCTTTTATTTCTCTGCTGTGTGGGCAATTTCCTCTCTGCTAAGGTGTAAACAGCTTGTTTTTAACTAAACGCTGCTGGACTTAATCACCTATCATACCAGCTGGCAATTTGAGAGTTGTTGGTAAGCAGTTAATTGGTCTATAGTTGCCTGGTACTTGCTTGCTTACTTGCTTATTAGTTTATTAAATTTATGTGCTCTGAGCTGCTTATGTTCGATCTTTCACTAGGTTTTGCCAGATGTTAACAAATCTTCAGTTTTACCTCCTTGTAGTTATTAAGCTATGTTATTAAGCTGCTTGCCAACAAGTGGGTGTAGACCAGTCAGATGTTTCAACCAAAAACCATGCAGTTCACCTTAACCTGATACTAACCAGTTCTTGATCATTCTTGCCCTTTTCCCACTATTTCTGCTGTTACTTTTATTTTAGCTTCTTTTTTTAATTCTTATTCATCTCCTTTATCCAAGGAGATTTCTAGTTGCATTCTAGTTGTATTTCTTTGGGTTGTCCCATAGCTGTGCTGAAAACTGCACTATTTCTTCTTTATCCCGTGTTGACTGGGTCAGCTAGATGTGAACACTTTTATCAAGATCAGCTATGATGATTAATTTCTCTCAGTTTCTTAGCCTAAGTCCCTTATGCTTGCCTCTGGTTGTTTATTTACCGTATTTTTCAGACTATAAGACGCACGGGAGTATAAGACGCACCTTAGTTTTTGGGGAGGAAAAGGAGAAAAAAGCTGATTGGTGGGTGGATTGGCCTCCTGGAATACCTCCAATCAGCTGTTCCCAGAGGTGAACTTTAGCAACAGGTTCGTTGGTTGTGAGCTCTGCGCCTTGCTTTTTTTCAGCATCTGAAACCTCCGTTTGAGAGGCTTTTTTTCAGTCTGTGAAACCTCCGTTTGAGAGGCTTTTTTTCAGCCTCTGAAACCTCCATTTGAGAGGCTGGGCAGGGCTACATTCGGTGTATAAGTCACACCCAAATTTTCACTCTCTTTTAGGGGGGAAAAGGATGCGTCTTATACTCTGAAAAATACGGTATTCATCAAACTTATATATCTGTCCATCTCACCAAAGTAATTCTGGGTGGCACACAACAATAGATAACAAAAATACAAAAATAGTGAATATAAATATATATATATAAAATTAGTAATAAATATCCTTTTAAAAAATCCCAAAATATAACCAAAGTGGAGGAAGAATAAGAAATGGCCCTTTCAGTAGTGGAGCTATTTAGCCAGTTTTCTGGTTCCATAAGAACCGCAGGTCTGGTCACATAAGGAGGTCTTATGGAATGTCAAAAAGGGATGGGGCCAATGTCCCAAAGGTACTTTTTCAAGAGGCAACTGGACTTTCTGGAGACATTTCACTTCTCATCAAAGCAAACCTGAAGAAGCTTCTTGGACAAGAAGTGAAACGTCTTCAAAGAAAAACCAGAAAGTCCAGTTACCTCTTGAAAAAGCACCTTTGGGACAACCATGACCTGGATGACTGAGAATCTCCAGGGATGGGGCCAATTTAATTTTGGGAGAAAGGATGTTCCATAAGCCAGACACTACAGCAGGCACATGTCCTGGGGTTCCCCAAATGTAGAACCCTGACCAATAGTAACTGCAGCATGTTACTCTCTGCAGAACTGATGGGGTAAGCTTATTTAAAGGCAGTCCTTTAAATAGCTTGGTCCCATGCCATGAGTGGTGTTTGTTTATTTATATTTCACACTCCTTAACCGCCCATTTCTCTCAGAGAGGGGCTCTGGGTGGTATATAATTTAATCAATGAAATTAAGCATTAATAACAGAATAATTTAAGATTATTTTATATATATATGTATGTATGTATGTATGTGTATATATATATATATATATATATATATATATATATATATATATATATATATATATAATCAACATTATATATGTCACCATCTTCAAAGCGCTCCATGGCTTAGGACCGGGATACCTACAGGACTGCCTTCTACCACCGAATGTCTCCACCCGATACACTCTCACAGAGAGGGCCTCCTCAGGGTGCTGTCGGCCAAGCAATGTCGGCTGGCGACCCCCAGGGGGAGAGCCTTCTCTGTGGAGGCTCCTGCCCTATGGAATGAGCTGCCCCCGGATATAAGAAGGATCCCCGACCTCCGTGTCTTCCGTCGTGCTCTGAAGACTCTATTGTTCAATCAAGCCGGCCTGACCGAATAAATTAATGTTAATAGGTTTTAAAGGGGTTTTAGTTAAGGGTTTTAAAAAATGGCCAAATTGCTTTAATTATTTTAACGGTTTTTAATTTTTGCGATGGGTTTGTTTTAATATGGCTGTACACCACCCTGAGTCCTTTGGGAGAAGGGCGGTATAGAAATGTAATTAATTAAATAAATAAAATAAAATAAAATTGCAAAAAACGGGGAGTTTCAAGATGTAGAAGTTAGCAGTTATTAATACAGATGAGAAGGCTCCCATGGGCCCTGTGAACAGCCAAGTTTTGACCCCTTTGCGGAAGGCCAAGAGATTGGGGGCTTTTCTTACCTCTTGAGGACAAGATGTTCTACAGTGCAGGGGCAGTGGCAGAAAAGGCCCACTTCCTAGATCCCACCAGTCGAAATTCTTTTGATAGGTGGGGTCTGTAGCATTCCCTGCCTGAACGAATGGGATGGGCTGTGATGGGGCGAACTCAGTTCCGTAAGTTGCCTGGCCCTATGCCCTGTAGGGTTTATATAGAAAGATGCACAAGAGAGGCATTCATATATATTATATGGATACAGAGAGATGTATTGCACATCTTACCTTAAATTTTACTTTTCTATGGGCTTTTTAAAACTGCAAATTGCACTACAGATTTTTAAAGAGCGAATGTGAATGTTTGTGTGTATGTGTGTGTGTGTGTAATATATATTTATTCTAGTTCTTCTATGGACATGGGAAGTATTTCTCCACATTCCGAGTGTAAGATGGCAGACATATATCTTTAAGTAGTTCATTTCCAAGAGAGACTCATGGAATTTTTTTTGCATTAAAATGGCAAAAACCAGTTGTACTTGGATGTATTTCCTAGTAAATTGGACTAGACACATTCAATCCCAGGATCCACTGGCTCTATTATTTAGATTAACAAACTTGATTAATGTTTTCAGTTACTCTACATTAAGAATTCTCAAAACTGTGTAGGGAATTTAGAATAGTATTTTTTGAGAGCGGAATGCTTGTTAAAGTATTAATGTGGTTTATAGCCTTTGCATTCTAAAATAATTTTCCTGGAAGCTATTTTTTTTTTCTTTTAACTTTCTTCACAGGGCTGACCAGACTGTAAACAGTCTGAACTTTAAATGGCATTTTGTTTCCCATTTGCTTCAGAATTTTGTTTTAAAGAAGAAGAGAGAACTCGGTCAGAGGGCCTCCTTCACTAACCAATTAACTTTTTTTCCCCAGACAGCATTCAGAAATAGCTTTGTGTAGCAGCACAAATAAAATGCATGTATGTTTTTGCTATTTAATTGTGTATTATCTTGTCTCATAATATTCTTATTAATTTATATATTTGCAGGTGAAATGGATCCGCCTGTTTACCTGGAAGATGATTTTTCCCATTTGGATGGGTTAGATGATGATGTGTTCCACTCTGATGACTGTGAACTGGTCAGCCAGTCCAGCAAGATGGCCTTTCGTGGCATTTTCACCCAAAGCAAATCTTATAACTGTCTCCTGGGCAGGTTCCAGCTCTTCCCACTTACACACTGTTGTGGCCCAGGCAGCAGGCATGCCAAACAACAGGACAAGGCAACACAGACCCTCAATGCATCTTCTTCCAGCCAGGATATCATGTTACCTTGTGGAGTCACTGAAGAGCCCCAGAGACTCTTTTATGGTAAGAATTATCAGCTGTTTCTTGCTTCTTTGTCTACAGTGAAAAAAAGGCAGTGAACCACAGATATAACCTGTTCCCTTTTTTAAATGAATCGTGCTGTTCTTGAACAAAGCAGCAATTGACTCTGCTGTTGCTTCAGATAGTTATCTCAGGACCTTTTGCCTGGCTCTACGTGAAACAGGCCAAGGGAGGTCTTGCTTCATGTTCAGTGTATTTTATTTAGAGCAAGACTGGACAGCCAGCAGCTCAAGATTTATATGTGACTCTCTGCTCTCTCATCTTTGGCCACCAACATTTGGCAGCAATGAAACCCTCCGTTGAATTTTGGTGTCAAGTCACTTAGAAACTGTCTTCATCATATGCAGAAGTGGGCTAGTTATCAAAAAAGAGTTAGTGTTATCAGAAAAAGAAATAGATGATAAATGAAATATATATTAATAGTTTGCATCTTAAATGCAGAATTAATAAATAATTGCCCTCACTTGACATTTCTAGCAATAGTACTAGCACATAGACTTATATTCTGCTTCACAGCGCTTTACAGCCTGCTCTAAGCAGTTTGCAGAGTAGCATATTTCCCCCAACAATCTGGGTCCTCATTTTATCCACCTTGGAAGAATGGAAGGCTGAGTCAACCTTTAGCCTGGTGAGACCGCTTGCAGTCAGCAGTCAACAGAATTAGTCTGCAATACTGCTATGTAATCACTATGCCACCACAACTCTAGGATGTGCTATAGACTCTTTGCTCCTTATAGATCAATAGTAATAGCTCCAATAATAATTTAGAAGAAAAGTAATCTAAGTAGTTCTCCTCTCAAATATTGGTAATTAACTGCAACTCAAATTTAATTCATATGAGGGAGTCAGTTTGTTGTTATGGTTTTGAATTGGTGCTTGACATAAAAATCACTGGTAAATTTGAGCTACTCACTTCCTCTTAGTCCAACCTTTCTCACAGAGTTGTGAAGGTAAAAGAGGGGAGCACCAGCTTTAGCTCCCAATAGAAAGGTGGGGTATAGGTGCAATAATACTAAATTAAATGTCAATTAAAACCATATTAGTTGCCATTGGTATAATATTCCAAATTTGAGTTAAATTATATTGTTTAAATGAACCAGTTTGGTGTAATGGCTAAGTGCCAGGAGCCTATGTGTTCTAGTCTTGACTTAGGCACAAAGTCAGCTGGCTGACCTTGGGCCAGTCACTCTCTTTCAGCCCTAGGAATCAGGCAATGGCAAACCCACTTCTGAAAATCTGTTTAAGAAACTGAAGGGCCTAATCCAGGCAGTCAATGCTAACTCAAAGGCACAACAATAATAAAAAAAATGTCTAATGTCATGTTGTTGATGTCAAAAAAAGATCTTATGCCATATTGTGATATAAACACCTTTTTTGTATGATATTTGGCAGGAAATGCTGGATACCGTTTACATGTCCAACCAATCGGTTTCACATTGAATCCCCATCTCCAGGAGGAACCTCAGGAAAGTCTGCAGGAATTGCGTACCGAAGTTCAGATTGCACGGAAGTTACAGTGCATTGCAGATCAGTTCCACAGGCTTCATCTACAGAGGGTAGGCAGCTTGAAGAGCAAGTACAGGAGGGGTAGCAGCAAGGCAACAGAATTAATTCATTGGAAGAAGGCTTGTATGAATATATTGATTAGCCAAGAAAGTAGTGTAACTTCTGCGCCATCACTGCCAATATGCTTAGAATGTGCTTTGTGTTAATATTGATAATATACAGTTTGTTTCAAAACAGAACTATTTTTTGAAATATATATTTATAATTATTCTTTATTTGATTCTATTGTAATTTGTTTACAATAGAGGTAGCTCTGCCTCACAGAAATACTAATATAATCATTGTTTCTGAATGTAAAGCTAGTTTCCTTTGTTCAGTTATGCGGCAGCTGAACCAAAAAAAATAAAGTTTGCAGGGAGCTACAGTATAAAGAAAGAAGTAAATTTGTTTTTGAATGTCTTCTCTTAAGACTATTGAACAAAGTAAAAAAAAAAAATCAATGAAACTAAGATGAAAAGAATCAACTCTACTCTTTCTAAGTGGTGGGCAGGTTTAGTCCTTTTCCTGAGGAGGGTTCCTAAATACAATATATACATTTATTTTCTTTCTGTGTACCAATCTACCATTGCCTTGCCTTCTGCTCCCAAGGACAATTTAGAAACTGCAAATATTTTGAGGGGTATCTGTTTACCTCAGATTTATTACTTTAGCAGAGGTGTTAGGGGAGAGAGAGAAAGAACAAGGCCTCTCTGCCATCTCCTATGCTGTAAGGTTCTGGTCTTCTGTTTCCATTAGTTATGGAAAGATATAATATTTTCTGCTGACTAAGTCCATCAGCTGGATAGCAGAACAAGTAGGCAAGGCTTCCAGTATAATTCTGTCATCTTTACCCTAGGAAGCCAAATTTCATGCTTTGACATCTAGCCTCAAATGTAGTTCAGCCTTAAATACCATGAATAATCCAGTTCTCTCCTCTCTCTTAATGCCCCGAAGTATCCATCACTTTGGAGATTTGCTTTTCTGTTGGTGCTCTCTTGTGAAGCAGATGAAAGAAACTAACATGGTGTGATGGGTGAAGCACAATGCCATGGCAGTGGTCCTTTTTCATCAAAAGCTTTGAGTGTAACAATAACAGTAGAAAGCATCAATGTAATTCTCCTAGGTACCACAAGTAGTCTGTATTATAATTGTTACTATAAAGTGAGTTAGTACCAAGGCCCTGCATGCTTCAGAAATATTTTAAAACAAGTGTTTTGAAACTTGCATATGCATAGCACTTTTCTGGTCTTAATTAAAGCAGCCAGGGTTTTTCCAGACTTTCTTGTAATTGTGAAAAAAAAATGTGCTCCTGCTACAGTATATGGCATATGCTATCCATTCATTAACATGACTGTTAAAGCAGCAGCTGTCTCACAAGGAAACCTGAAAAAAGCCAGGCTGCTTAAATGAAGAGCAGGGAGATGCTGTACCTATGCACATGTATGATCCAAAGCACTTCGCATTTTTAAAGCCAGCAAACCCTGATTAGTTCTATTCTCCCCAGATTGCAAATAGATGTAAGTGTCCAAGACTGATAAAAGGCTTGCCTAAAGCCTTCTAATATGACATGTTCACATAACACAGTAACCCTGAAAATAAGTTAGATCAGTGTTAGATCTGCATAATATACAGAGTCATAAATTAACTGAAAAGTTTGGGTATGTCTAACACACCAAGCTGCATAAAATAAGATTTAAACCAACCCATGATGAATCATAAACTTAGCATGTTGTGTAAATTCATCTGCTAGGCTTTTAATTAACCTTCTTGAGTCATATTGTATGAACATGGCCACTGAGTTTCTAGCAAAGATGAGATACTAAATTTCTATACTAGTTCACCATTGGCACGCCAAGGTGTCTTTTGGCATCTACACAAAAAAGATGTGTTTTTGTGATCTTGGCACCAACCCATCTTCAAAGGAGTATTTTGTTAGACTTTTCGATTAAAGTTCTCTGCAAAGGAAGATTTTCAGAAATGGGAAGAGTTCTTAGAAGGCTCACCACAATCTTTTCTATTTTATAAAATATCCTACACCAGACCAATCAGCTGTAAAGTTCTGAGCAGCTGTCTTTTCCTCTGGGTTTTTCAGGAGGAGGCGATGTTATTGTTGGACACTGGGTGCTTTTTTCTTCCGTTCCCTCTCCTCTTTTTCTCTATTCACCACCACTAGCCTCCACTTCCCACTATTACTTTGTAATGTACCCTTGTGGATTGTCCTTCCTTGTGTGAAACCCTCCCAGCAGATCTCTCAGAATGCTTTACAGGAGAGGAGGAATCATCCAAGCTGGTTTATTTTAATTTACCTAGACTGATCTGATTTCATCTTGGGCCACTTGACATTCCTTCTGAGAAGAATTGTACTCAGGAGCTTATCATTGCTGCGGCTTCTGTTTCTCTTCTAAAGACAAGTGCATGTTGTGTCACAACGCCAGAGCTTTGGTTTGGGGGCCAATGAGATCCATAATGAAGTCTACCATATTTGTAAAGGAAACCTGTGCTTTTATGAAAAAAATATACTTGTGGAAGATAAGAAATTCCTTGGAGCTGTTTTAATGGATATAAATCAAGCAGAGAAGTTTCACTGCCTGATTGTGGGTGTTTCCAACTGAACAGGAGTGGTAGCCTGCAACCACTTCAGGAAGCTGTTGTGGACCTGGGTCACGTGGGGGATGGAACGAGGCAACGGCAGAGGGCTAGAGCTTTAAGTTACAGCCATTGCTATTTCCTATAGGAACTCTGTGGCAGCTGCCAAGTTCTTGCAAATGCAGAATCCGCTCAGGGAGGAAAGGATGTGTGTATACGTTCACTGTGGCTAGATTTCCGTGCAGTGCCAGATGTTCAGATTGCTCCATTGCTTTTCCTACAATCTTGTAGGAAATCTTCAAGTAAAATCTTCATTTTACTTCATCCTCTCTTTCTCCCAGACTTCTGCCCACAATTTTTGGGATATAGCTATAATTGTGTGAAGTTTGTTTGGGGAGGGGGGGGGGCGAGAGAAATAGTTCTAGACAACAGAATGGTATCTCTGATTTTACATTCATCGAAAAAGAACAGTTTTGCCAGTGTGGGGGCGGGGGAAGATTTACTAGAATAAAAACAATTCCTCAAGTGCTGGAGTGCCATTCTAACTTCTTGCCTTTGGTAAATGTAGGAACTCCATATATTTGATAGGTGAGAGAAGAATTAATCACCTCCCTCTCTCCTCAAATCCTTCTGGCATTGTTTTTCCCATCCTAGATAGCATTCCATCAGCATCTGTCCCTAACGTCAGTTCTGGGGTAGCTAACTTTGTTTAGAATGGCAAAGGTTAACAGGGCTTTGTTTTTCCTGTCAAGAGTCCTGAAGGGAAGCTGTAGAACTGGTTGTAACACGACCCGTTCCATCTGGGGAGTGCAGCTATCCAATGTCTTTGTCTGGGAAATGTGTCCAAGAATGCCCCAGGGGAAAAAAAAAAAGCTGTAGCCAAAAAAAGAAATGTGGGTCTTCCCCTCCCTTTTCTTCAGGCAAGACGTGTGCGTTGCTGTGGCACCAAGAGCCAGTGAGGAACCACTGCAGAGCAGAAATAGTGTAAGAGCATCATGTGTCATCCAAGCATGTGGGAGAGTTAGTAAACACAAAGCCTCCCTCTTTACTACGAGCTGAGGCAGGCAAGAGAGGAGGAGCTCTTCCTTTTTCAGCTGAAATAATGGAGTGGCATAAAGGACGAGAAAGTGTGTGCAAGCTGACAGTCCCTTCTCTCTCTTTCTCTTATATTTGTATACGCGCAAACTCCTTATTTTAAACAGAAGGTAGGAAAGAAATACTTGATCTGTTACCACTCAGTCATCCTTCCTTACTCAGCCAGAGCTTCCAGATTGGTGGGACTTCAGTTCCGTGTTCTCAACAATCCTGTAGAAAAAATACATTCCTAAAAGATGTGGAAGATATTTATTTGGCAGGGTCTGGATGAAAGGATTCATCCAGACCCTGGATGAATATATGGAAATGGGGAATCTTCTTTGTGCAGAACTATACTGAAGGACACCGCAGCACTTATTACTAAGTTTGTGCTGGTGGTTTATATTCCTTTTGGCCATTTTCTTCTTATCCTGTTGATAAAGATAGTGGTGTGTTGTCCAGTACTTTTCTGGAAGATTATTGGTGACCAGAACTGTAACTTGTTTATTGTGTCACCTCAAAGAGGTATGGTTGCAATCAGACTGCACTATTGTGTAAAAAGGAAAGAACATTGGTTTAGGACTGATGGTCTTTCCTACGTAAACGAAAATAAAAATGACTATTCCCTGAAGGTGTTCCCATAAGATCAAACAAGGAAACATGATAAAATTTAAATTAGTCAATACTTTCATTAAGGATTACAGCCCTAATTAAAATGGATCAAGGAAGATGATATACATTTGGAAGATAGAAGAAATAGTTGAAGAAAGAGATGAGTTTGTTTTAGTAGAAGAATTATTAAAATTACCAGATGACCATCCATTGAACATGAATGGGTAAAAACAACCTTTTCCACCTGGTGCCCTGAAGAAGTCCTACATGGCTGAGATAAAGATTCTTTCACTATAACATGCAGAGCTAAAATTTACCAATATTCCTTCTTATTTCATATCCATAGCCATGGCCCTTCAATAGGAAGGAATCATACATGAATTAAGGGTAGACTTGAATGTGTATTTCCTTGGTCCTTGATCAGTACCATAATCCCTACACCAGCCTCAATAACAAATATTTGGAGTTTATCTGATTCTTTTTTTTTAAAGTTTACATTTCCATGAAACTATGTTTACAGGCCATGTTAAGCCTGGATTTAGTTGTATCTGTTTGAGACTGTGAGTCAAATCAAGCCTTGAGATATTTGCTTCCCCTTCTCTAACTGGATTGAAAAAAATCCTAATTATGATCCATTCATATTCAGCTCTCTGGCCTGGCCTATATATGAATTTGGAATCAATATTTAACACAGGCTCCAAGTAAACATTTGGTTTGTCCTGCAGTTGATGTAGCCTTT